TAACAGTAAAGCTACGGTTGGAATCCAAATGTTCTCATACAGCTGCATGACAACCCATCTTTCTTGTCTTGACACTCCATCCTTTTTCTCAAGTCACACTGAATGATCCAACGCCAGGCAGGGAGAACCAGGGCCCCAGGTCAGGCAGGTCTGCTTAGGGGGAGAGTTCTCGCCCAGCGCCTGGCACAGGGGAGGGTGCAGTCAGCCACGCTCTCCTTCACCTCTGAGGTGGCTTGGCCATTATCGCCTTTCTGGAAACTCACAGGGCATCAGAGGTCCTGATCTCCCTGGGTGTACTTGGGCCTCCATTTATAGACTGTGTCAAAAGTTCAAGTACTTTATGGGCACAGATTAGTTGCTATCATGATTTAATATACTAACCACCCACAGTGGTGAGGTGCTGCCCTGAGAAGCAATGGAGGAATTGTGTAGGGCTAATAAGATCTGTGCCATTAATTTGTGTCTTGAGGGTGTGGGATGTGGAAAGTAGGCTGTTTTAAGCTGTGCTCTCACCTTTGTCTAAGACGGAGTTTGTCTGTTCTTCAGTTCCAGCCCTCCACCCTCACCTTCTATTCACTCCTGTGTTTGTTGGATGTCTCCCCAAATTTCCAGTCCTCCCCCATCTCACATTTCTTGTTGTCTTAGGCATCATGACGGATTCTCCCTTGGCGTTTCCATTCCAGCTAAATGAAGATAATAGCCGCTGCCACCTCACGCTCAGAAAAATGCAGGCCCATGTTAAGGGGATTAATGGCATTTTAGGATTAAGGACAGGATGGTAGTTTAAAAGCTTTTAGCTCTTCCTTAATTAGGAGATTTACCTGACACAATGCATTGCTAAGCCTCACAGATTTCCCTGTGGCAATACTTCTGTTTCTCTGTGGTCCCCCCAGTGGCTGCCATTTGGGAAATCTGGGGACAGCTGCTTTGGGTGTCAAGTCCTTGTCCCCTGGTACCCCCCCCCCCCCCCATAGGGCCTGTGACAACAGAGCTCAGGTATACGGCACCTCATGCCCTTGCAAGGGATGCGGCAGATGGCAGGGAAGTTTGCTGATGGTCACCCACAGCCACAGCAGGACACAGCGTGGACACCTCAATAGCTCCCTTGTCCTCTTCGTCACAGACCTCACTAATCGGGTGGGCACAGGGCCTTGCGGCAGGACCTTTCTCTGCCTGGGTCTTCATAATCTGATCTAGCTCCCACTTCTGCCTCCACCTCCCCTTCAGTATAGATTAAATCCAGGGTGAGCAAACTTTTTCTGTAAAGGGCTAGATAATACATATTTTAGGCACTTGTGGCCTAAGGATATTACATAGGTACTTATATATAACAAAAGAGAAAACACACTTCCACGATTTTTTATTAACAATTGAAATTTCCTGAGAGAATTAAACTTTAAAATTCTCATTAAAAAAAATAAATAAATAGGTGAGGTGATGGATGTGTTAATTAGCTAGATGGAAAGAATCCTTTCATGATGTACTAATATATATACATCAAGTCATCACAAGGTATCCTTTAACTATCTCAATTGTATTTGCTTTATTTACCTCAATAAAGCTGAAAAACGATAATAATAACTAAAAGGATTATTATTACAGAAGGAAAGAGTATTGGGAGCCTGAGGAATAAGAGCAGGCTTCAGGGAGGAGGTGGATGCTGAAAGAGCATATATAGAGAAGAGGAGAGGGCTGAGCATAGTCAGGGGCAAGGACACAGCTTGGAAGCTGGGTTTGTCAGGGAGCACGTGGGGGCCTTCAGATTGCCTGGGAGTCAGCTTTAAGGGGAATGCTGAAAGGATGAGGGAAAAGAGCAGAATTGGTTCATATTAACCTTATAGAAGAGCACAGTTTGTAGAACAATTAGGATCCCTCTGAGATTATCCCCCCAAATGATGGCCTTGCCTGGACTTAAGGCCCAACCACTGCCATAGGCACAGGTGGATTTAATCTATACTGAAAATATTCAGGGACAACACAAACAGACAATGACCAAAGGATTGAATTTCCTTTACACATGTAGTTTATTTCTTTTCATATTCATTTTTTAATCTGTTTTTTTCTTTTATTATTTTTATTTATTTTAGAAAATGCATTTTTAAGGTTTCCTTTTTCCTGTTTATTTATTTATTTATTTATATTGCAAACTTAATTTCAATATGAAATTCAAACCAAACCTTAAACCAAAACATAACCATTGTACAAATGCTACTCTTGACACTCACATAAGTATTCTTTCAATTCATAACCTCAACCCAAACCAAAATACAAAATTAAGTATAACATCAATTTTTATGTTTCCACAAATGATAACACAATGCAAATTTTAACACATAAAGTAATTTTATGTCTGCCCTAGGCTTAACCTAGCAGTATCTCTAACTTTGACATCAATCTATAAACTATAATAGAGTCAACATTAAAAAAAATTAGATTTGGGATTAACTAAATTTTAGATAATAGGTTTGTGTTGAAGTTACAATTCAGGTTAGTTCTAGAAAATGCATTTTTGAATCTCACTTAGTTAAATCCTTAGTCCTGCAGTTTAGTGATTTCTGTTTTTATCGTCATATCTTCACTGAAGAGGGAGGCCATCGGGCCATTGTGGAAATCAGTTTTAATTTGCTCTGAGTCAGTACTATGCAACAGAATAGTGAAGCCCTTTATTTGCAATAAAGAAACCCAAGGTTTTAACTGCCTGAATTGGGTTAGTTACTCCCCTTTCTGTTCCAGCTTCCATATTTGTTCACTCTGGAGCCAAGGAGGTGACACCTGGTGGCCGATTAGAAGAATTAAAATCAGTGTAATCTGAGAGCAGAGCCCTGTGTACCTTGCTCAGGTGTGTCTGGGGTCCCCCAAAGCACTTTCTGGGTTTGGAAGTTGAGTTAGTCAGTCTGCTATCAGTCCAAGGGGTTCATCCTGGGAAGACGGTCCTGTTTTCTAAGTCAGGTTTGTCTAGAAATGTATCCTTGTGGCTGGTTTAATTTTACTATTCCCACAACCTTGACAATCATTTCTTTTTTCTTGATTCCATAGATTTTCTTCTAGAGGTAAAGTACTGTGGACCTAGGGCTACCACAGCATCTTATGATGCTTACAAATGCCTTTCACATTCCTACTATCATCCCCATTTTATAAATGAAAACACTGAGGCACAGAAAGGTTCAATAACCTACCTGAGGTCACATAACTAGTCAGGGAAATAGGCTTTGAATCCAGACAATCTAATTCCATAATCTCTACTTTTAACTTTCAATAAACAACTGTTGATTGGTCAATGATATGTTTGTTACTTGAGGGACCCTGAAAAAAGATCTTACTCCAAAATATATTTTCCACTGAAAGGAGTGTAGTTGTATATACTATTACCATTAAGCATTGCCCTTCCTCAGAGTTCCTTATAGTGCTTTAAAAGGTGTAGTATCCTATGAAGAGTTACATTAACCCGTCAGTGTGAATTTATTTATTAGATGTTTTTATTGTCTTATTGAATGAAAGTGCTAGAGGGGCTAGAGGAATTGTTGGGTTCTTCAAAGAAATTACATAAACAGCTATTTTCCTGCTCTTTTTCTAAAAAGGGTTGAGAAATTAAAGAGAAAGAAAATATGGTAGCCACAATGCCACCTTTTTACTGATAGTGGTTAAATGATCGACAGTGGCTCCAGGTCTGTTAGCCAAGGCTTGCTCATACTAGACCCAAGAATTAGGCAGAGGAACCAATCCAATGGCAGCCATGGGCTGGGCATGCCCCATCCCCCACATGTTGGTCCCCATTTTGGTGTGGAGGGTCTCTGCAGTCTCCAAGTAGAAGCAGGGCTGAGCTGAGCCAATTATTCTTACAAACTTTGCTAATCAGTTAAGTCCTACCATCTCAAGGACAAAGAGAGGAAGAGGCCAGGAGTGGGGGAAAAGCACTTCCATCCAGCAGAGACCTTAACCATCAACTGCTTGAGCCCCTCATGGTACAGACACAACAGAATTTCAGGAAGGGGAAAGGACTTGGATAAGTGAGTGTTGCAAGTTCATGGGGGAGGTGGACCAGGACACTAGGTATCACTCCATCTGCATTGCACATTGTCTTCCTCCAGGAAGAGTGAGCAGTGGGAGCTCTCCAGGACCTGGTGGGAAGGGGGGGGGGGGAGAAGCAGTAAAGCCAAGGTAAGTGTGTCCAGTGACTAGGCACAGGGTGACCCCTCAGTAGGCCAGAGCACCAGGTATTGGAGAGCTGGACAGCCCTCTCTCCCCTGCTGTCCTCCTCACAGCCCCACACAGTGCCAGAGCTGGGAGGACTTGAGAGGACCATTTTAGTAGTCAGGGTTCTCCAAAGAAAAAGAACCAATAGGATGTTTGTATATGTATGTTATAATACATATGTTATACTGGATTGGCTCCCGTGATTATGGAGGCTGACAAGTCCGAAGTCCTGCAGTGTGCACCGGCAGGCTGGAGACCTGGGAGAGCCAAAGGTGCAGAGAAGGCCCAAAGGCAGTCTGCTCGAGAATTTCCTCTTGCTCAAGGCAGTGGGTCCTTTTGTTCCCCTCAGACCTTCAGATGATTGGCTGTGACCCATTCACATTATGGGGATAATCTGCCTCACTCAGTCCCCTAATTTAAATGTTAATCTCACCCAAAAACTCCTCGCAAGTTGACACATACAATGAACCATCACACCCACCTTCCCTCTTCATTGTCTTCGTGAGGCTGAAGTTTCCCATTATATCAGTCATTTGAATACCACTTTCATGATTTTTCCCAATATCTGTGTATTATGCATTTAGTATTTTCTTTAAACCAGTGTTAACGATTCACTTAAAAATTAGCCTCATACTAAATATTCGCGATAAAGGGATTTATTGTACTAGGTGTAATTTTTTTCTAACATACATAAGAATAACATTTTTAAGGTATGGCAGCATTTAAAACCAATTTGCAGGTGCCCGAGGCTCCCACTGGCCAGCAGGGGGCGCAGTTGCCCGCTGACCCCGGAAGCCCGCTGGGGATGGGGTGGGCGTTGGGGCGGAGGGCGGTATTTTTCAGGCCCACCGGGCGCAGTGTGGAGAGGGGAGCCCTGGGCCTCATCCCACCCAGGGGCGCCCCCCACAGCGCTGAGCCCCCGGAGCACCCGCAATCCAGGCCGTTGGAGGCCCAGAGCCGAGACCTGCGGCGCCACGGCCCCCTCTGTGTCAGGGCCCCGACGGGAGGTAAGGCCCCGACTAGGCGCTTCCATCCTCCCAGAACCGGAGGAAGCTCGCAGCAGAGGCCGCCCCGCAGAGGGTGAGAGCCCTGTGGGTGAGAGGCGGTCTGTCTGTCTCCTTCGAAGCCTCGTGCCACGCGGGGCTGCACTTTTGGAAACAGCGTGAGGCTCCGCCTCCGGCCGGCCCACAGGTGAGGGCGGGTGCGCTCAGTTCCCAAAAGAGGGGGAGACGCTGGGGGGGAGGGGAGGGTCGGGGAGGACCGGCCAGCTCAGCAAGAAGGGCTGTTGGTAGCATCAGGGCCCAGAGCTCCACGGTGGCGTGTGTGTGTGTGTGTGTGTGTGTGTGTGTGTGTGTGTGTGTGTGTGTGTCGGGTAGTGGGCGGGGCATCCTCCTTATTCTGTGGTGATCAGAATGGGACGGGGCGGCCCCGGGCTCCCGGAGCCCAGGGCCAAGGGTGCGCCTGGCTTGAGGGGACCCTCAAGCATCACGGGCACAGCATGGCATGGTTTCTCTTATTACTATTTTAATTTAAATGGTTTCGCTGCTTTACGTAAATGAAAACATTTATTTTAAAAGGAAACTTCTGTCTATAAAAGGGTCATAATGGTACCTGCACCACGGGATTGATGTGGGGATTAAATGAAATAATACACCAAAGAGCATAAAAAAGTGCTTGACATGGCAGAGCTCAGTACATATATGCTCTTACTGTTAGGATTTTAGTGGAAAATGAATTCTGGGGAACACTGGGACATACGGGCCTTCAGAGAAGGTTCAGAAGCTTTTGGAAATATCCAGTCTAGACTCGTTTTTTATTTTTTTTATTTTAATATATCGATTTCAGGGAGAGGGAGAGAGAGATAGAAACATCAATGATGAGAGAATCACTGATCGGCTGCCTCCTGCAGGCCTCACACGGGATGGAGCCCGCAACCCGAGCCTGTGCCCTTGACCAGAATCAGACCCAGGACCCTTCAGTCCCCAGGCCGACACTCTATCCACTGAGCTAAACCGGCTAGGGCTCCTTCCTCCTGTTTTAAGGTAGAGCCTGATTGTCCTCACTGGCCAAAGGGAGATAATCTCTGCAGCTCCATTCACCCCTGGAAATTCCTGTGCGTTTAATTGCTTAGTTTGCTACTAAGTACAATGGCCAGCAGGTGGCGAAAGAGCACCGGGGATGTGTTTGCCCTTTTGTGATTGATAATAAACACTGTGGTTCAAGGTTTCCGGGGATATAGGGATGCTGGAGGGTGTGGGCAGGAGACCTTGGTCTCAGGAATAATATTAATGATTTATTATTCTAGTCTTTTTTTCAAATACAAGATTTTGGTTTTTATTTGATTAATTCATATATTCATTCAACAAATATTTATTAGATGCCTACTTTGTTCCGTATGCTATTCAGAGACTTGATATATATCAATGAAGTAGAACAAAGATTCTTGCCCTCATAGAGCTTACATTTTTGCAGGCAGCAATCCTATATAATAAAGAGGTAATATGCAAATTAACCCTTACACCCTCACAAGATGGCTGCCTATGACCAGGCTGGCAGGGGGGTTAGTGAGGGACGACGAAATGACTGAACAGCAGGCTGCATGGGGGCAACCAGGCTAGCAGGGGGGGCAGTTGGGGGTGACCAGGCTGGCAGGGGGGCACTTAGGGGCAACAAGGCCGGCAGGGTGAAGGGTGCAGTTGGGGGCAACCAGGCTAGCAGGGGGGGAGTTGGGCAATTAGGCTGGCAGAGGGGGCATGAGGGGCAACCGGGTCGTTGGGGGGGGGGTGTTAGGTGTGACCAGGCCAACAGGGGGGGCAGTAAGGGGTGACCAGGTAGGCAGGCAGGTGAGCAATTAGGAGTCTGCAGTCCAGGATTGTGAGAGGGATGTCGGACATCCCCCAAGGGGTCCCGGATTGGAGAGGGTGCAGGCTGAGCTAAGAGGACCCCCCCTCCCGTGTATGAATTTCATGCACTGGGCCTCTAGTAAAGATAATAAATTATGTAGCATGTTAGAAGTGTTAAGAAAAATAAAAGTGCAAACTAGAGTGTGTGGGGATGGGCGGGTTGCAGTATTAAATGTGGTATCTAGGATAGGCCTCGTTGGGAAGGGAAGATGTGAGCAAAGATTAAAAAGAAAAATGAAGTTAGCCAAGCAGAGATCCTGGGGAAGAGTGTTCTAGATACTACGAATAGTTTGGAGCAGTTACATTTACCCTTTAATTGATAAGGTAATTGAGACTCAGAGAAGTGAAATGACTTACTAGTATTTAAGGTCTTACAGGAGGTTGATGGCAAAGTTGGTGTAGCTTCACCTCCTCATGTCTAGCCTCATGTTTATTCACTAGATTATATTATCACTTTGTTTGCCAAGGTGATGGAGCCTTCCAGTAAACCTGCACAATACATAGCTTGCTTAAGTGATGACTCACATTATCCTGGTATATTTTCCCATTGGGCAATACCAGAACTGTTGTGATCTTGCGTTTGTACATAATCAATAAAATATTTATTTTGCTAAGTGCTGTGTAGCATAGAAATGAGGCATGCCCCTGCACCTAAGGGACTAATAAGCTATTCATAAACATCTTTTGGATTTCATCTCTTCTCTTTCATCTACTTTTCCAACTTTCTTCCAAACAAATTCACTGATGGTCTCTACCTACAGCTTAGAATTCAGTCAAGTTCTCAAACTTGGTCACCCATTCTTGGTTTGTAGTTTCCTGAATTTCCCCCTCCATTCCCTTTGCTGCCAGTTGGTACATGGTGCCCCTGGTTATCCATAGGTCACAGTCTCCACTCCCTCTGCCTTGTGTTGACCAATCTCTGAAAGCAGGCTTAGACTTTGCTCTCTACTCCTAGCCTTCAATTAGGTCTCCCACCTGGATCCTTAGTTGCCCTCTAGAACTGTCTCCTTGCCACCTGTATTCATAATTTTGTTGCTGTTGTTGTTTAATTTGTATGAGTTTATTTGAGCCAAGCTGACAACATATCCCAGGAAGCAAGATTTCAAATGCTCTCCACAGTTGTTGAGATCTGACCTCTTGATTGGAGACTTCGTTCGTGTCCTCCTATTTGGAAATTGTGCTTAGACACCGTGCTTGGTTCCCTCAAGCAGCCTCTCTGAGCCTGAGTCAGTTCTCTCAGCCTCTGAGTCCCCTTTCCTTCCTGCCCACGCTTGCTGGGAGGAGACTGTGCTGCTCTGTGTGCAAGTCCAGGATTATAGCACTTGTGCAACATCAGTGAAGAACAGAAGGCTGTATTTTTAGGTAATTAATTGGAGGTTGGTAAGCTTGTAATGGATAAGAATGTGGCAGAGAATGGAAGGTGGAACTGGAGCCTTGTCTTGAAGGACAGCTGGAATTAATGGGTGTAGGGGGAGAAAACAGGGTGGGGGTGACCTTGAAGTGTTGTGGCACAATGAAAGATTAGCCTAAATGGAATGGAACAGAGAAGGTGTGTTTGGGAGTGGTGCTGGGAAGAGGACTGATAGGAAGGGTGAGCTGGAGCAGGGCCTGGAGCACCAGGTCAAGACGTTTGCATTTCAGCATCGTAAACTATTCTTAAGTATGAAGTGCCCTGGAAGGTGGCAGAAAGGCATAAGGACAGGACCTACATATCTGTCTGTCTATCTTTGAGCATCTCACGTTTACTGCGTTCCTGAATGCCCCATATCAAAGAGGTTCCCTTGGATGTTTTGTCAGGGCATCCTGTTTCTTACCTACTTTTTGCTTGTTTGTTCTCAGTCTTCTCTAGTGTACCTTAGATGAATGCTGCCAGAGGGCAGGATTCTGCCTGATTCCTTCTTGAATCCCCAGAATCCAGCACAGTGTCAGCTACTCAACATGCTAAAAATATTTGTTGACTGAATGAATACCTTAAATAAAATATCTGTTTCTCCAAACCTTCTTTACCTTTTGAATGCTTGAGTTCTGTTAGTGCTAATGTCATCTATTGCGCCTGCAAAGTTGGAAATTTGGAGTCAACCTTGAGGAAGTCTGGGCAGAAGACCTGGCTAATTCTAAATTTCACATGAGGGCTATACTCTTACGGAGATCTTGTTTTATGCTCCATTACGACAAGATAACATAATGTATGTACCCTGTTGCATTTTACTAGTAGATGTGAAGGCTGAAAGCAAAAGACGTGAAGAATGAAGGAAAAGGAGAACTCATTAGGGGGGGCCACTGGCAAATTGTAAATTGCATATTTCTACATGTAACCATCACATTAGCTGTTTTGATCTCTTCCAAGGGCAAAATCACATAGTGGTTAAGGGTATGGGCTCAGGTCCTGGTTCTGCCACTTCCTAGCTGTGTGTCTTTGGGAAAGGTGCTTTACCTCTCTGTGGCGCAGTTTTCTCCTCTATAAAACATGAGTAAGAATAGTACCTCACAGAATTACTTTGATTACGTTCTTAGAGCAGTACTAGCACATACAATGCTTAACAGGTGTTTGCCATTAGTAGCTGTTTCTATTCAATGGGTCATTGAGATATCATATGTTCTGTTGCCAGTTGGGGCTGCTGCTCTGAGACAAAAGGGTGTGATAGTGAAAGGAAGTTAGAGTTTGCTGAGTGAGGAGCGAGTTCCTGTGAGAGATGGCAGTGGCCACTGAGGGAGGCACTGGGTCCCAGATGGGATTATTTCTGGTGAAATGTGATGTGAATTCCTTGGCGCACTCAGGAGGTTACCACTTAGCTCTCTCTATGAGGGGCTGTGCAGACAACTGAAAGAACTCTGCCTCTACCCATTTTTTTCTTTGTAGGAGGAAAGGACAGCCAAATCTGCAACCAGGCAAATTATGATCATGGTTATTAGTGCAACATTGAAGTTCTCCACCTGCCCGTCGTCTCCTTCCTGACTGAGTCTCCCACCCTCAGTGAACACACAACTCAACATTCCATTCCAAGAGTGGCGGCGGTGACAGTGAGGTGGGCCAGGAAGGTGTGGTGATTTTACCAAACTGAGTAACCATAAAAAATTACTTTTCACCCTTGAATCCTGTGGCCCACTATTCCAGGCACTTGGTATTCTTGCTGACATAGCAAAGATGGATTTGATCCCCGTTATTTTACACTTTGGAGTGATTTTATTTTGCTGAATGTTGAAATATTTGGAAGTGAAACATTTTAATTTTTAATTTTATTTATTTATTTATTTTTTGGATGTGAAACATTTTAGGGCTACAGAAATGACTGTGGCCAGGTATATGCAGTATCCATGAGGCCTTTCCCAGCCCTTCTGTGGGGCGTCACACCAGTATATTCTGAGGGTCCCTCCATGAAGGATCTGAAAACGAAGATACCAACATTCTTTTCTTCTGAATGCAAAAGGCAAGGTGCAGGTGCGAGACATTAATGTTCCAAAGAAGATGCTATTGGACAGAATATTTATTATTTTTCTATTCCACTTCTATCCAGAATAGAAAAAAGACCACCTAACAGGGGCGGAGGGGAGTTTGGAGAAAAAAATATAGAGTAGGATGTAATGTGTGCGTCTATGATCTTCTCTTACCCAAGACTGTTATGAGTGGTGGTGAATTATTATAATTATAATAATATGAATAATTATTATTATTATAGAGAGGCATAGATGTATTTTTTGAATAAGGCCTTAATTAGGATAATCTATTGTCTTTGTAGCACATTCTCCAATTAAAGGAGTCTCTTTAACAGTTCCAGTGTCAATGAACGGTCCACTCTCTCTGTGTGAGCATCCCGGAGCTGAGAGGACACCTGCCTCCCTCTCTGAGTGTCACCAAGGTGCCTGAAAGCCTTGTAGAGAGCCCTTCAGTGCTGTCGAGTAGAAGACATGTCTTGCCTTGACATGTGTGTTGAAGAAGCTCAGGGGCATGAGAGGACATCTGCAAGTACCAATTATTCCTGTTCCTTTCTGACATTTTGATGTCTTCCTCTTAGCCATCCCGGTCTAGTCACTTTTCTAGTTCTATCTTTAAGAAGATTTAGGTCTCAGTATGTTGGGTTTTCCCTGCCATATGGATCCATTTTGGACTCTAAACTTCAAGTCTCTTCTTTTGTGGGCTGCTCTCTCCATTTGTTCCTTGAATGGATACTTTCCTGAACGATAGTAATCTCTATTTACGACTTTCTGAGGTTTCTCTGTCTGTTCTCTCAAGTTATTTCACTCAGTCAGTGCCAACTTGATTTTCCAAGATTGAAGATTTTACTGATTGTTTGGCCTTGGCTTTGTGTTAATCTCCTTCAGCATTCTGTCTCTCTTGATGCTGTTGGCATCTTTATCTCTATTCTGAGAGGTCCTGGTTCTTTTTTATTTGTTGGTAAAACCTACTACTCCCGCCTTGTTGAACACATAGTCTTTGGATCATGTAGAACTATCGGTGAAAGATATTAAAAAGAAACATTAGGTTCAAAATAGAGTCACTTTTGTTAAGCCCCATCAAGTTTCAATACCTAAGCTAATTGCAGTTTCAGCCCCTCCCAGTAGGGGAATTTTAAACCAACCAATCTAGAATTGCTTGATAAGACCTTGGTCACCATTCCTCCAAAGAAAGGTGACCCAGCCTGAAACAATATTTTCTTATCTTTTGCTAATAACTTTCTTGTCCTGCCCAGTTTCTGCTTATAAAAACCTTCCACTTAGTGCAACTTCTCAGATGCTGCCAGATTCATAATTTGTTCAATAAAGCCAATTAGATTTTTACATTTACTCGGTTGAAATTGTGTTCTTTAATAGAGGAAAGCAAATAACAGGTGATAAATAACTAAATAATCAGATTGCTGGGTGAAGGAGAGTGTGCATGGGGGAGGTAGGGGTGGAGAGGAGAGTAGTGTGGGGGTGCAGGGAAGAGCAGGGTGGGGAAGGAAGTGAGAGGAAGCAAATGTTCTTAGCCCACTCACTGTCATTATGTGTGACCTCTCAAAGGAGGTGGAGGCCTTGTCTAGGCAGAAGTCATCATTCCTGGCAGGAGGAGGCAGCTCTTGTTGCACCCTTAACCCCATCCTTTCCTTCTGCCTCTTTATGAAGCAATCAGGAGACTAGGTTTGCTCCTTGAGATGCTTACCCATTGCCTACAATAATCACAATGCATTACAACAGCTATTTTCAAGTGGTGTTCCACAAGAATTGTTAAAGCATGCAATACCTGACTATTTGGTCAGAAGCACTGACCCCTTTACCCTTAGATTATCAAATTTTAAAAAATGACAACAGCCAACACAACAATAGCCAGCCAATGTGAACGAATCAGAATTATATCTATTTTTTTTTGTCAGACTGGCAAAAAATAAAACATTTTTTGGTGTGCCACAGAATTTTAGTAATTAGTTTATATGTGCCATGAGATGAAAAATGTTGAAAATTGCTGCATTATAACATGGAGACCCACAATTTCAAAAGTGTGATTATGAAATTCAGCATAGATATGAATAAAGGCAAAAGGACTGACTGACAGACTAAAGAAATAGACACATGACAACATATTTATTTAAAAATTGCATACCCGCTCGGCTGGCGTGCTTCAGTGGTTGAGCATCGACCTAGGTTGACCATAACTAGAAGACTCTCTTTTTAAGTTCTCTTGCCAAAAAATGCCCCTGTTCTTAATTTTTTCTTAGAATGCTCCCTCCATTCTACCAGAAATTTATTTTTTCTTGGATGATGCTGTTTCCATTAACTCTATGAAGTGGAGCCTAGCTATTCCTGGTGAAATCAGTATGGGCTAGTGGACTGAGAATGTTTCCCAGTCAGCACACTTAAGTTCAAGTCTGAACTACATCCTGGACAAGCTGTGTGTTCTTGGCTTAACTTCTAAAAACCTCAGTTTGCACACTGAGAAGCTTAAGGATCTCTGCCCCACAAAGTTATTGTGAATTAAAAAGGGGATACGTGGCCTGACATTGTATATCCCATATTCCTGACTGTGTATTTTATATTTTCTTTTACTTGAAGAGCTGCCGCTACTAGCAAAGCCCATCTTTACTGCAGTAATTGAATGTAGAGGGAAATTTAGCTGTAAAATTACCCCAGCCTTCACGCACATACAGTTTAGGCCCAGGAGAAGTTCTGTAAGGGTTTCTGTCCTTCCCACCTATACCTGTAATCCTCAGTATGTATCATTGAGTGTCCTGGACCCATAACTTTGTCTTGCACCTGCCCTGAAAATCCCAAACTTGCAATTAACGTGGACTTTGCTTCTTCTGCCAGGCTGTTGGTTTTAGTGAATATCACATATTGTGATTCATTAGCTTCTCTCTACACATTTATGATTTCAACTTTATCTCAATTCTGAATACTAACTGGGATTCTCTTTACTCATTTCTAGTTGGTGCCCTTTTACAGACCCCTCAACAAATGCTTCAAATCTTTCTGACTCTTTCCAAGCCTCCTATCTTTTCCCCTCCCCATCAGTGGGAGGATGGTGGAGTGATTAAAAAAGCATTAGTTCATTCCTGAGACGAATATGCTCTTGAATAAATAACACAGAAGGCATTTAAAGGAAAAAAAAAATCAAAATCACAGGGTTACCAAGTTTATAGTTAGTATATTTATGTGGACAAAACAGAAACTTCCCCACATAATTATCATATTTGTAGACATCAGTATTGCAAAAGTCAGGGAGTTTTTTTACATTAGGAAGTCAGCAATTGACAGGAAATGGCTTAAGCTTCATTGATTTGGGGATACTAATTCTAGATGAAATCTTCTCCTTATTTCTAGGCTATCTCAAGGTGTAGGGTTTTTTCCTCCTCTCCAACTGTGGGATCTGTAATTGTAGTCATAGTGGTAGCTGGGCAAAGGATCAGTTTTGCTTTCTCTAAGTGGCCAACAGATATGAATTCTCCTAAATTCCATTTTTCTCAAAGAAATTCACTGGGCCACAGACCATTGAAAACACAAGTTGCTGGGCTTTATCACCTAGAAATTCTGATTCTTGGACTCCATCCCAGACCCAATTCCAGTGGGTCTGGGATGGAGTCCAAGAATTTGCTCTTTAAATAATTACCTCCGGTGATTCCATGCAGCTCATCCTTTTAGAAACATCGAGGTAATTATATCTTCACTTATTTTTACCTTATTTTTGCTTCAAGAATATGATATATCCTATTCCTTTTCAAGGCTGATTTCACTATATGTGCTTTTAATTCTATTTATGCCATTTCTTCTGGGTACTTGAGTCATCAGTGAACATCCTTCTCTGGTATTGACAATCTCTTCCTTTTCACAATCGCCTTCCCCTGGGCTTACAAATACTCTTCACTCATTTAATAAATTTTTATCAAGTGCCTCCTATGTTTCTGGCACATTCTTTAAATTTTTTAAAAATATGTTTTTATTGATTTTAGAGAGAGAGGAGGGGAGAGGGGGAGAGAGAGAAACATTGATGTGAGAGAGAAACATCAGTCGGTTGCCTTTGACATGTATCTCAACCTGGGATTGAACCCACAACCTGGGTACATACCCTGACCAGGAATCGAATCAGCAACTTTCGACACAGGATGACACTCAAACAACAGAGCTACACCAGCTAGGGCTAGATTTATCTTTATCAGTGTTTTTCACTGACTTTTCTTCTCTGCCTACCTCACACTCCCCTAAAAGCCCTTTACAGTCTGCTTCCAGCTTGCTTTACCAAGCCACAATTCCTGAAACTCATTGCCCTATGTGCTTCATTCAAAGGCATGTACCCTTGGGTCCTGAACACACTATTTCTTTGATGTCTTCACACATGAAGTTTCCTTGTCTGTGAAGTCTGGAATATTGCATGGCAGATCTGTTAGTTATGTGCCTCAGAGCACCCACTGATTTAAAGTCTTCAACATCTGGAATGTTCTGACTAGGATGTGTAGGTAAGGACTGAACAGCAGCTAGGAGGGCTGCTCAGGGATCTTTCATGTTTGGGGTAAAGCACACAGGGTGAGAGAGTCAGAGCACAGGAGTAGATAGGGGGACAGGGCAAAATATGGAATTCTGGCTATTGAGGGAAATTGGATATAGGATCTTTGTCTTTTAAAGAGTGGAAAACTGTGGGTGGTTGTTTATAATTATAGTGAACTTCAAATAAGGCGCATACTAAGGAAGACTAGGTCAGAAATGCCACCCTCTAGAATTGAAGCTAATGAGAATTATTAAATGTGACGAGATAAATTAAATGTGAGGAGATGAGTTATCTGAAGCAGGGATCCTCCCTTGGAAATTGTTTCCTAAGTGTGTTGCTAATGAAAGAGGGTGTTTCTCAAGTGTCCCTCAAGGACATTAAGTGTTGCATTGAGGGTAGGAAAAGGAGAGCCAGAGGTAGAGTTTCAGTTGGTGTGTTTCCAGCAGTGTCCAAAATGAGTTGTTTGTCTTACTATTGAGTTTTAATAATTTCTTATAAAATCTGGGTTATTCATGAAGCATAACCTTGAAAATAGCTATATGAGCTAGTTTCTAGTCTGACCACCTGTGTGTGAGAGTGAAGTGAAGGAGAGATGAGACAACCTTAGTGTTTAATCACTATTTTTTATTGTTAATTTTAATGCAGTCCAGTTATTTGAAACAAATATGTCAAACCAAGCAACTATACAGCAGTGGCAGATGAGTCTTTCTTTCCCTCTGGGTTTAAAGGCTATTTTCCTATGTGGAAAGGCCAATGAACTATAGAGATAGGTTGGAGCCATTGCATTTCCATGGTATTGCTCTTCCAAAGTTTTGTTTTGTTTTGTTTTTACCTAGAGCAAATTCTTGGGCAATATCTTTCTTGCTAAAAACAAGTCAGAGCCCTCATTTGGATTTCTTAATCCTGAACTGGTCCATCTCTGCTGTTTAAGAAATAATGCTCTCACTCATTGGCTAGTGAGAAACAAACACCTGGTGCCACTTTTTAATGACGCTGTAGGTTACTGATGGAAGATGCACCCGAGAATAAGGGCTTGATGGTTTTGATAAACTGGGAAACTTCCTACATTACATCTTTGCTTTTAGGATCTTCTTTCTGCTACCATCCAATGTGGGGCACACCAAAAATTATGGTTTACATTGATGTAAGAGAAGCTTTGGCTCCAGAACTGGTAATATAATTTTTTGCTTTTTAAAGATGCAGGCTTAGTTTGCCATAAATAATGAATAGTGAACTCTTAAAAAGACACCTTAACTAAACCCTAGGCTACATAAATACTTTATATTATGCTTCTAAATTTAGTCCCACACATTATTTATTCAACTCAGGATTTCCTAGCAATGTAGCCCACATACCCTACATTCTTTGGAAGGAACCCAATAACAATGAATAGAATGCAGTCAAATGAAAAAGATAGAAACAAATACATTCACTTTTAGAAAGACGCTTTATAATAAGTTGCTTGTCTGTTATAGTTTCTTATTTTTTAAATTACTACTTGAGTTAATTTCACTTCTATTTATTATTCATCATTAGAATTAACACCTGTGCTCTTGGACATATTTATAGAGTGGAGTGCTGCTACTGAAACTGTGGGAACTTGAGTTGGTGCTTCCATCTCCACAGTTATTGCCTTCTGTCTGATAATAATAATGGCCATCTTGTCTATTATCCTCCTTGAACATTAACACTAAATTGGGTGTGTTGGCTGTAGGTTGTCCAAAGCCACAACTCAAGGAGCTTTCTACTTGTCTTTGTCCATGAATACTCTCGTATCTCTCAGACTCACTACTTCTTTCTTCTTCACTGTACCCTGACCGTTCCTGGCTATTTCTTCTTGATTGATTGGGAGTTGAGCCTATTTTGGGTTTACTGTCCTCATCATGAGTACCGATTAAAATTAACCCACATCTTCCTTGTAATTCATGTTGCTCATAGCTAGGACACCAACTGGATCCAGAACCACATTGTTTAGGGCAAGGTGAATGACACGAGCCATAACCATATTGTTCGGTGTCAGAACAGTGACCAGATCCCAAACCGTATTGTCCAGAGATAGATGAGTGAGATGAGCCAAATCCAGATTGTTCGGCGTCAGAACACTGACCAGATCCCAAACCATATTGTCCAGAGCTAGATGAGTGAGATGAGCCAAACCCAGATTGTTCAGTGCCAGAATACTGACCAGATCCAAAACCACATTGTTCAGAGCTATATGAGCCAGACCCATATTGTCCAGTGCCAGAATACTGACCAGATCCAAAACCACATTGTTCAGAGCTAGAACACAGACCTGAGCCAGATCCATGTTGACTATGGTGAGAGGCAGATCTGTGTTGGCCACAGCTAGAAGGCTGACTCCATCCACACCCAGATTGGCTATAAGGCTGACCTGATCCAGACCTGTGTTGGCCATAGCTGGAAGACTGACCTGAGCCATACCCATGTTGACCACAGCTAGAAGACTGACCTGAGCCAGAACCATGTTGACCACAGCTAGAAGTCTGACCTGAGCCAGAACCATGTTGACCATAAGAAGACTGACCTGAGCCAGAACCATGTTGACCATAAGAAGACTGACCTGAGCCAGAGCCATGTTGACCATAAGAAGACTGACCTGAGCCAGAACCATGTTGACCATAAGAAGACTGACCTGAGCCAGAACCATGTTGACCATAAGAAGGCTGACCTGAGCCAGACCCATGTTGACCATAAGAAGACTGACCTGAGCCAGAACCATGTTGACCATAAGAAGTCTGACCTGAGCCAGAACCATGTTGACCATAAGAAGACTGACCTGAGCCAGAACCATGTTGACCATAAGAAGACTGACCTGAGCCAGAATCATGTTGACCATAGCTAGAAGTCTGACCTGAGCCAAAACCATGTTGACCATAAGAAGACTGACCTGAGCCAGAATCATGTTGACCATAGCTAGAAGTCTGACCTGAGCCAGAACCATGTTGACCATAAGAAGACTGACCTGAGCCAGACCCATGTTGACCACAGCTGGAAGACTGACCTGAGCCAGAACCATGTTGACCACAGCTAGAAGTCTGACCTGAGCCAGAACCATGTTGACCATAAGAAGACTGACCTGAGCCAGAACCATGTTGACCATAAGAAGTCTGACCTGAGCCAGAACCATGTTGACCATAGCTAGAAGTCTGACCTGAGCCAGAACCATGTTGACCATAAGAAGACTGACCTGAGCCAGACCCATGTTGACCACAGCTGGAAGACTGACCTGAGCCAGAACCATGTTGACCATAGCTAGAAGTCTGACCTGAGCCAGAACCATGTTGACCATAAGAAGACTGACCTGAGCCAGAACCATGTTGACCATAACTAGAGGACTGACCTGAGCCAGAACCATGTTGACCATAAGAAGACTGACCTGAGCCAGAACCATGTTGACCATAAGAAGACTGACCTGAGCCAGAGCCATGTTGACCATAAGAAGACTGACCTGAGCCAGCACCATGTTGACCATAAGAAGACTGACCTGAGCCAGAACCATGTTGACCATAAGAAGACTGACCTGAGCCAGAACCATGTTGACCATAAGAAGACTGACCTGAGCCAGAACCATGTTGACCATAGCTAGAAGACTGACCTGAGCCAGAACCATGTTGACCATAGCTAGAAGTCTGACCTGAGCCAGAACCATGTTGACCATAAGAAGACTGACCTGAGCCAGAACCATGTTGACCATAGCTAGAAGTCTGACCTGAGCCAGAACCATGTTGACCATAAGAAGACTGACCTGAGCCAGAGCCATGTTGACCATAAGAAGACTGACCTGAGCCAGAACCATGTTGACCATAAGAAGTCTGACCTGAGCCAGAACCATGTTGACCATAGCTAGAAGTCTGACCTGAGCCAGAACCATGTTGACCATAAGAAGACTGACCTGAGCCAGACCCATGTTGACCATAAGAAGACTGACCTGAGCCAGACCCATGTTGACCATAAGAAGTCTGACCTGAGCCAGAACCATGTTGTCCATAGCTAGAAGTCTGACCTGAGCCAGAACCATGTTGACCATAAGAAGACTGACCTGAGCCAGACCCATGTTGACCATAGCTAGAAGACTGACCTGAGCCATATCCATGTTGACCATAGCTAGAAGACTGACCTGAGCCATACCCATGTTGACCATAGCTGGAAGACTGACCTGAGTTAGTTCCATGGTGTCCAAAGTTTGATGACTGTCCTGAAGTAGAACCATGTTGTCCATAACTAGAGGATTGACCTGATCCAAATCCATGTTGCCCAAAGCCAGAAGATTGACCTGAGCTACGTCTGTGTTGTCCACAGCCAGAGGATGGACCTGATCCAGACCTATATTGGCTATGGCTAGAAGATTGACTTGAGCCAGACCTATGTCGGCCATAGCCAGAGGATTGACCTGATCCAGACCTATGTCGGCTATGGCTAGAAGATTGACTTGAGCCAGACCTGTGTCGGCCATAGCCAGAGGTTTGACCTGATTCAGACCCATGTTGTTCATAGCTGGAAGCCTGGCCTAATCCTGATCTATGTTGGCCATAGCTAGAAGACTGACCTGAGCCTGACCCATGTCGGCTGTGGCTAGAAGACTGACTTGATCTAGACCCATGTTGACCATAGCTGGAAGACTGGCCTGAGCTAGTTCCATGGTGTCCAAAGTTTGATGACTGCCTTGAAGTAGAACTATGTTGTCCGTAACTAGAGGATTGACCTAAACCAGACCCATGTTGCCCAAAGCCAGAAGACTGACCAAACCCAGATCCATGTTGTCCACAGCTTGATGACTCACCTAAACTGGATTCTGAACTAGGCTCATGGTATCTCTGACTAGAAGATTGATTAGAGCCAGATCCATATTTTCCATAATTAGAGGATTGTCCTGATCCAGAGCCATGCTTTTGTCTTTCACGGCGCCCTGACTGACCACTTGAGTGGGATCCATGTCTTCTTTGACTAGAGGACTGACCTGAGCCAGACTCATGACCATAACCAGTGGGCTCATTTGAATTTGACCAGTGGTCTTGTCCTCCACAACTCCCTGAGCTGAATCCATGATGTTGATTTGATTTCTTCTCCTGTAGTCTATTTCCTAAAGATTCATTTGAGTGAGACCTATGTTGGTCAGAACTGAAAGACCGATCCTCTGAGTGGGAACCATACCCGTGTTCTCCACAACCGCCTGACTGATTTGCTGAGTGTGATCTTTTTCTATAGCTATTTGACTGAGTATAACCATCTTCTTCACTCCCAGACCCTTCTTGCTGATGAGAGCCATACTTATTTTTCTTGAAGTGGCCCGAGCTTGACTCTCTCCATCTTTCCCCAGAGCTTTGCCTGTGTCCCAAATTAGACGAACCTCCTTGATGCCCAACTCTTCTGGAGCTGGATTGAGGCCTGTGTTTAATGCGTCCTCTGGAGCCCCTGGAATAGGAATCATTCTCTCCTGCACTCCAACTTGAATGCCTGCAAGACGATTCTTGCCTGTTGCCCTTCTCTTCTGTTTCACTATGTTCCTCTTGTTCCTCTTGGTGCTGGTGACTGTGATCTCTTTGCTTTGACCCTGAAGCTTGGCAGTAATCTTTGCCGATGATTTTATTACAAGCCTGAGCCAGCTGGAATATCATCAGAAGATACTCAGTAAAATCCACTTTCTTGTTATGGTCTCGATCCAGACTTTGCATGATGATATTTACAGTGTCTGGATCATCTGGATTCTGTATAGGAACAAGGTACAAAGGGCAGCTCTGTCAATATGGACCACATACCCAGCTAACCAATTGAAGAAAGGCTATAGAAATATGAATGCTTAGCTTATATAGGTTAAACCACATAGTCCCTTAGGCTGGACTGTGCTATCCTGAGCACGAGAGAAGGAAATACGCAATGAATAATGCAGTGAGAAATAGAAGAATATGCAACTAGAAGATTATATTTTGTAAGGAATGGGTCAAATAAAAATGATTAGCTAATTAATAATAATTTTAGATACCTATATTATATATGACTTTTCTTTATTTGTACAGCTTAATTCATTAACTTGTTAATTCATTTACTCGTTTAACAGATTTATTTTGCACCTACTATCTGCCTCTCATTCAGTTAGGTGCAATGAACAAGTTTGGTTCTTGACAAAATGGAACTTAAAGTCTAGTGGGCCAGACGCACAAACTTAAAAATCACAGTTTATTGTGATGTTTCTATGAGAATACACCAGAGGGGAGCCATTGTGGGTTCAAGGAAGGTTAATGAGGGGAAGTGATGTCTTTTGAAGGATGGGTTGGACCCAGGTAGAGGGAACAATATGAACAAAGAGCTGGAGGTAAGAGAAGACATGGCTTATATAGAAAGAACTGAAAGAAATTCAGAATTGCTAAATTTAGAGTCTTAGCAGTCAAGAGACATGGCTAGAGAGGTAAATATGGAGCAAATCATGCCTTTGAAATTATGTTAAGTAACTTTGGACTTTATTTTAAGAACTGGGAGCTATTGAAGGATTTTGAAATGAGTGTGAAATGATTAGATTTGTATCTAATGCTGAGATTGGAAGTAAGAAATGGCTTGAACCAGCAATCGTGATGGGGAGAAATGGGCTGATTGAGAGACTATTGATGAATTTGATGGAAGTTGGAGGATGGAGCATGCTGAGAGAGGAAATTAAAATGGCACCAGATTTCTGCTTTGGGCACACAGGAGAAGGAGAGTTTAGTTTTGTATCTGACACACTGAATTTGAGACATTGATAGGAATCCAAATGAAAATATTTAGTATGTAGCTGGATTCAATGAGTTGGAGATCAAGAACCACATCTAAGCTCCCAGATATTTATTTCCAGAACTGACATTTTAAGGTGGTGGTCACCCTCTTTCATGATTTAGGAGTAAGATGCTAATTTCTTGAACTCAGAGGCTTTATAGTGTCAGCATCTCAAAAATGGGCTGTGGTCAGGATATTTTGGGCAGAAGAAAGACAAAGAAAGGGAAGAAGATACATTTTATCTACTTTTCAGTTTTTCGGAGGACCATCTCAGTTGTTGTTCCAGAAGAATTACTCACTTAGGACATTTAATCTATGAATTTTTGTCTTTTTTTTTTTAAAAAAAATAAGATCACTTTCTTGTTCATGTTATAGAAACCATTATGGGGTCAACTTTTGACTTTGTTTTAAGCCTTTACCAAACCCTGTTCTCTATTACTAAGTAGGGAGAGTCCTCTAGGAATTTGACATATGTGACAAAAGGTAGAAAGGGAGAAGAAGGGAATTGCAGTGTTTTAGTCCTGATATGGAGTTCTTACCTTCATAATTTGACGGAATTCATTTTCCAAAAATACTTTCATTTCTACCTTGTTCAACATGTCACACTCCTCATCCTTGGTGGCATACTGGTAGAAAACTTCGATGACAGTGACGATGCTTTGTAGTAATTTAGGCATCTTTTTGTAGATTTAATTAACCTAAAAAGGAAGAAAAGGAGATACCCACCTCTTATTGTTCCTTTTTCTTGCTTAAATACATAAGTAGTCTCAATTATTTGTAAAAATTATTCAGAATGAATGAGGAATGATTAATTCTGTTATGATCAAGAGCCAATCCAGAGTTAAATGACTTGTTCAAGTCATATAGCAAGAAAGTGATGAAATTAGGAACACAAATATCTCATTATGGAAATATCTCATATTTCCATTCCTGAATGAATATAGGAGTGATGACTTCCATTTTTGGTCTCTTTGCCTCTATCAGGGATAATTTTATGAACTTTGTTCTGGAGCTATAGAAGTCCTGGGTGTGCCAATCCATCCATTTCCTCAGTTCCTTTCTAGGTCTCAACCATCACATTAGAGAAGGACAAGTCTATTATCTACATGGCATGCCTGACTCCAACTAAGGAGTATCAGGGTCTAAACTAGACCCTCCAGACTTCTAGGCCAGAGAAAGTAAATAAAGTGAGCAAAGACAACAACAGGCCTAGGTGATATGGAGCTGGGGCAACTGCTATCAGGCTCAGCTTCTGTTTTCATTCTCCAAGAGGGGGCTGACCCCAGGCTTTACTGATTACACAACAGAGAGAAAAAGCTCAGTAAGTAAAGGAGGCAATCTGCCTACTGGATAATTTGAGCCCAAGATGGTTAAGGAAATGACCCCCAAAGAAAGCTGATACTATCAGTCCCAGGTATTTCTTCATTTTTCTTCTCAATAAAGTTAAATTTATACCAAAGTTCTCCAAAGTATATTCAAAAGAAGCCTGGTACCCAGGGCCTCTTTGCCTTAGAGAACATCCCAGATTCTCATAACTTATAGCTCTAAATACTGCTCACTTACCTAGTTCACCAGAGGAACAAGTAGGATAGAGGCCGAAGCAGCTTACAGGGTGCTGCTAGTTGCGGATAGTGGCCTTCTTATAGAGGAGCTGCTCCCTTTGAGATGTCCCAATTTACTCTCAAATAAGCCCAGCTCCACCTCCATCTCCACCTCCTAGTGTTTATCTTCTTCCTTGCTTGTTCACCTGAGATTGCATTAGCAGTTCCCAAATCTGGGCGAGTACCAGCTCCACCTGTCAGTCTCTGAACACTGAAGAAAGACCTTTTGCATATTCAATGAAGTATCTAGCATAATGCATTGATAACAAATCATGTGGACTTTAACTGAAGTTAAATGGAATGTCTGCAGGGACATCAGGGAACAAATGTCAAAGAGTCATGGAATCTGATTTTTAAAAGGAAGCTTAAAGATCATCTGATCAAAGTCTTTTTTTAAAAGCTAAATTTTCTTATGTAGGATTCCAGTCAAGGTGTCACCCATGATATTATTACCTCTTGAAATAGATAATGGCGGCAGAGGCCCTCTTGTTTCTTTACCCAACTCTGTTTACCAGACTTTAGTGGCCTTTTGTCAATGTAGCTTTCTTTTCAGCCGCTATATAACCTTAAGAAGAGATGCATGCTCTTTAGCATAGTATTCAAGGTTCCTCATGATCTGGGCTGTGGCTTCTCTCTAGCCCCATCTTCTCTCTTCCTCTTCCTCTTAATGCTCTACCAGTGATCAACTACTTAAATTTCCTAAAAATAACATACTATTTCATGTTTTTTCTTGGAATATCTTTTCTCATTATCTGCCTAGTGAATTATTCGTTCTTAAAAATCTACATTAGACACCCTGTAAAAACTCTGTCTTGAATTACTCGAGAGTTATAATTGTGTACCTTATTCATAATTCTATTGTAGTATCAATCAAACTATATTATAATCTTCTAAAATAATCTTACTATGAAGTTAATGTTTAATACAAAAATTGGAAAATATAGATGAACAAAGAAAAGAAAGTGAAAATACCTATAATACTATTACCCAGAAATAGCTACTGTTAATTATTTGATTTATATCCTGAAATAATACACACACACACACACACACACACACACACACACATATATGTGTATTTGCCTAGATCAGTGGTCGGCAAACTCATTAGTCAGCAGAGCCAAATGTCAACAGTACAACGATTGAAATTTCTTTTGAGAGCCAAATTTTTTAAACTTAAACTATATAGGCAGGTACATTGTTATTAACTTAATTAGGGTCCTCCTAAGGCTTAGGAAGAGCCACACTCAAGGGGCCGAAGAGCAGCATGTTGCTCGCGAGCCGCAGTTTGCCGACCACGGGCCTAGATCATTTCTGGACTATGAGCTTGAGAATAGGGAATGGGCATCATTATTCCTTATGTCATTTGGAGACTAAGCAAATTGCTTGGCAATAAAGGTCCCCAATAAATGTTCGTCAAATTGAATTGAATTGAAAGAGGAGTGAGGACCATGACTACAGTGATCTTCATTGATCAACTTATACTTTTTCACAGGACTAGGGTCTGCCCTCTCTCTTGCCCTTGTTACCTCAGAGGACGTTATTTCACCTGAACATAGACTGAATCAGCATTGGAATCCACGAGTGCCTTTCTGCTAATCTCTGAGGTCCTTGCTCTGCACTCCATCATTGTGAGCATGTAACACAAATTTCACTAAAGCCGAGTGAATTACATAGACTTAAACTTTTGCAACACAACCATCAGAATTTTGGGAGGAGTGGTAGCAATTATTGGCAAATGATAAATCACATGCTTCAAAATTCAACCATTATTATGCTATATGTTTTCTTCTAAGAACTACCCAGAGGGCTGCAGAGTCAGTACCCATACAGTGCCCTGTTTCCTCTGGACACCTGATTTGGGTCAGGTCATCATACTTCATCAGAGGAAAGAGCTTTTCAAAGGTGTGACTGAGACTGTGGGAGTGCAAGGGAGGTGGAATTTGCTAAGTGAAGACTAATTCCCTGCAGGAGCCGGCTATTGCCAAAGAGGAAGGACAAGGTGAGGGTGAGGTGAAGACTACTCCAGGCGGGCATGCTCTTGGGATGAGTGTTCTCCTGAATTAGGGGCCAGAAAACTTTTTCTGTAAAGGGCTAGAGAGTAAATATTATAGGCTTTGCGGGCCAGATGGACCTAGTTACAGCTATTGAACTCTGTTCTTGTAGCGCGAAAGCAGCCATAGGTGATATGTAAATGAATGAGCATGGCTGTGTTTCAATAAAACTTACTTATCGACACTGACCTTTAAATTTCATATAACTTCACATCATTTTTTTCAACCACTGTAGAAAACATTTATAGCTTGTGGGCCATCCAAAAATTGGCGATGAGCTAGGTATGGCTTGTGAGCTGTAGTTTGCCACCCCTGGCCTCTTTTGCATTTGCTTGTCAGGAAGACTTGCCAGGAAAGGAGAATCGGAGGGAAGAGAAGTGCTGGGAAGTGTGGGATATCAGAACCAATAATTCTTGTGTGAGAGAAAAGGTGCATGTCTGAGAATGTTGGCGTGTCTGAGTTGGTAGGTAAAGGAAACAGAACAAGGGGCCTTTGGGTGCTCTTAAGAGTGAGGTAAATTTTGACTTGCTGTGAGTAAGAAATTTTTAACATCTGCATTGGCTGAAAATGCAATGAGCTCTTTGCAGTGTAATTGAGTTTATTGTCTGGAATATTGTAGAAACTTTCATTTCCCATGTAAGCAGTTTTAATCCTTTCGTGTTTTGTTTTCTGAATATTCTCCAATGTCACCAACCAAAGTTTTGTTGAGCTTTATTTCTTGGTTTGTGTCACAAAAACAAGAAGCATGTTTAATGTACCTTTTGGCCCCTCCTCTCCCTTTTGAGAATTACTAGTGTAAGAGTTGGAGTCGATAACCACAAAGGCCCTTTCCAAAACTGAGAATCATGATTTTACCAGAACATGTGTCCCACAGTCATAGGGTGGACGTGAAGACCCCCTTCATAAGTTTGGTTAGTGGTTTTCCCCTTGGAGATGACAGGGTTCAGGAGAAGAGATTTCTTATGGTATGTGTTACATTCTAGGTTTTTCAGTGCCACCATGTGTTGGCAGAAGAAAGGAAGTTGCATTCTCCATTATGCCAAACACAGTGCTCTGTGGGCTTAAGTATATCATTTTATTAATTCTCACAACAGCCATATGTTGTAGGTATTATTCCCTCCATTTTTCAGATGAGAAAACTGAGGCCTAGAGAATATATGAAACTTGTTTCAAGTCACTTAGCAGTTAAGTGGAGAAGACAATATTCAGACTCAGATCTGCTTCTGTCTAGGAATAGCCAGGGAGTAGAGATTATTCATGCAAAAGGCAAGAGGGTTGGGGGACAGTTTTTGAGGAATGGAGTGTTTGACCTGAAGAGAAAACCAACCAATCAACCAACCAAAATTAGTAAAGATAAACTGTGAAGTTCCCTTCCACAGCTGTTTTCACTTGTGCTTGTCTGGAAGGCAGGGTAGTGTTCCTATAGTGCCATCTGGTGGGCTATAGGGATATTGTACAGAAAGTCTTCTTGACCTTTCTCTTTTCCCTCACTTCCCCCATGCAATTTCTTAGAGTTCTCAGTCTCCATGAATGAGGATACTATGCAAAAAATAGGGACATAACAAGCAAAGAATGTTGGTTGTCATGCTTTTGGGGTGAGTGGAGTCAAAAGAAGTTATCTATAAAATAAAACTAGTCAGCAAGCATTACCTTCTTTATCCTTCTCTCCAGGTACAAGGGTCATTTTTTCTTTTATTTCAAAAAAAAAAATCAAAAATGGATCTGATGTAATTTTATATCTTAGCATTGGGGGAGGGAGTTGCGGCATGCATGATGATACATCTTTCAGCTCCAGACCCAAACCCTGGAATATACTCTGCTTGGGTACTGGTCTTCCTATTCAGTTGTTTCTCTTTGTATTCTTAGTATTCTTTCTTTTCTCCTCCAAGACCTCAAAAATGCCCAGATGCTAAGAATCCATAACTTATTCTTACTTGTATACTCTTACTTATTTTGTTAACAGCTTTCTCTTTCCACCTCCTTAACTTGTTGCTTGATGCTCTTATTACCATGGCCCTTCATGGCTTGTATTCCTTAGTTCCTACTTTATTGAGGCTTTCTGCATGCAGGACTTAAAGTGGGAAGATTGAGAAGATTGGTTGGAAATATTCCCCAGGGACCATAAAATATGACAGAGGTAGTACAAAAGACCTGCTTGCATGGGAGATATCAGGACTTCAGAGCCACACAACTTAGTCTGTCCAAGATTCTGCAGCAAGGCCAAGTTCAGCAGGGTGTGGCTCCTGGGGAAGGTTGGGCTAATGGATCTCCCATGATGGGGAGGTGCTAGTCAGGCTTGAGGGAAGGTTGGAGGAGTGGTGCTCACCCCAGAGCCACACAACTTAGTCCATCCCAGATTCTTCCCAGAACTTGGCAGGGAGGAGGGGGCAGGCACCAGGAGTCAGGAGGCTGAGATTGCTGGGAGCCTTGGGAGTGGGCCTAGCAGATGTCCTGTGAGGGGGAGATTCACAGGAAAGTGGGGGCAATCTCCCCTCCCCCAAAATCACACCACTCAGTCACAGACACCTCTTGAGTCTGGCCAGACCTTTACATCCCAGCCCAGGCAGCTAACTCTTCAGCAGGGCATGACTCCTTAGGGTGGGGCAACAGGGAGTTCAAAGGGTGGGGCTGTTGCATTTCCCTAGGTCAGGGGTGGGCAACCAATGCCAAACATGACACACCAGTAACTTTTGCTGGCACGAGAAACCCTCTCTTATAATCTTCCATTTACAATTGTGAATCTTTGTTCTCAGTGATGAATTTTGTTAAATCTCGTAATAGGAGTAGCCTGACGGATGAAAGTAGTAGCTCGTGCATATCTCTGAAGGTCACGAAATATAAACCTGATGTAAAATCTCTGTCATCAGTGATGCAGCAGCAAAAGTCCCACTGATAATATCAAATGGAGTCATAAAGTTTTCTGTCGGACTATCAGTGTACATGTATACATTAAAAATAAATGTATTTTTCATCATCATATGCTATGTTTTTGTCGCTCGAATGAATTTTATTATTCAAGGTTCTTCACATATGTACACCTTAAGATATATGAAG